AGAATTCTGCAAGATCAACAACTTATTCATTACAACTACTTTTTTCAACAACATAAATGGTGACTGTACACATGTACCTAGTCAGATGGAATACACAGGAATCCAATCAATTAAGGAGTTTGGAGAGAGGCCATGGAAAGTTCAATACCAGTCAGAACAAGGCCAGCGGCCAACTGCAGAGCAGATAAGCAAGTGGTCATATGTAGAACAGGTAATCAACATACACAAGTTCAAGTTGAAGCTAAAGAAAATTAAGAATAGCCTACGTGCCAAAGGATGACCTTGACTATAACCCAACTGAATTCAGAGATCCTCTCAAGAACAGATTTCATACACTGAATCCTAATGACCGAACACCAGGTGAGTTGTGGGATGACATCAAAGACATTATACACGTATAAGTCACCAAAATGACAGGAAAGAGACCAAAATAGACATCAAAAGAGACTCAGAAACTTGTCCTTGAACATAGAGTGGCTAAAATGAAAGGAATGATGAAGCAAAAAGACTGAACAGAAGCTTTCAAAGGGCAGCTTGAGAAGACATGTTATAATGAAATGTGCCAGAGACTTGGGGTTAGAAACCACACGGGAGGGACACAACCAGCATCGCTCAAGCTGAAGGGGGGGAAAAAAAACAAGAAAAAAATTCAAGCCTCAAATTATACATTGAAGGAATCTGTGGGCAAAATAGTGAATGATGCAGGAAGCATCAAAGCGGGTGGAAAGAATACAGTCACTGTTCCAAGAAGAATTGGTATACTCAACCACTTCAGGAGGTAGCATGTGATCAAGAGCTGACAGTATGAAGGAAGAAGTTCAAGGTGCAATAAAGGCATCTGATAAAAACAAGGCTCTAGGAATTGACGAAATACCACGTGGGCCATCTTCAACAAATGGCTGCAACACTGGGAAACAGCTGCTAGAAGAAATCCGTATTTGTGCTATTTCAGGATCCAACAGGATATGAAAATGACTGAGCAATATTATTATTACCACACATAAGTAAAATTTTGCTGAAGATAATTTAAAAATCATTGCAGCAAAATACTGCCAGGAAACTGCCAGATTCAGAAGCTGTGGAATAAGGGATATCATTGCTGACATCAGTTAGACCTCGGCTGAAAGCAGAGAATGCCAGAAAGATGTTTACTTGTGTTTTATTAACTCTGCAAAGGCATTTGACTGTGTTGGTCAAAACAGATTGTGGCTAGCACTGGAAAGACTGGTGATTCTAGTATACCCAACGGATACTGCACATAGATGACGAGACTACCAGCAGTTGAATAGAACAGATGGACCCTGAGTAGTTTAAAATCAGAAAAGTTATGTTCCTGAGTGATATTCTTTCACTATGCATACTCAACTTGTATACTTAGTAATTCACTCAAGAATCTGGACTATGTGACCAAGAAGTGGGCATTAGGATTAGAGGAAGATTCATTAAGAACTTGTGAGGGCAATGAATGTACAAATGTGTTTTACACAATGGATGGATGTATGGATTGTGGTAAGAGTTGTATGAGCCCCTGATAAAATGATTAAAAAAGAAGAACTTGTGGAGCCAAGTCACATACCCGCGCTTGCTAAAGGTGAAGATGGCTTGAGGTACCAGTAACAAAGCAAAGACTGAAGGTGTCGCGGGTTTCTTTTTACTCAAACCCACAATCAATACCCGTGGAAGCAGCAGTCAAGAACTCAAATGACAAGGAAGAGAAACAGGAAGCGTGCCTCTTGGGAATGGAAACCAGGCCTGGATGTTCTTTATCGCATCTTGTTCAATATTGTGCTGGAAGTCTTAAGAGGGTACAGCAAGAAAGGGAAAATAATGGCATCCAAGCTGGCAAAGAAGTAAAACTTTGCTTCCCAGAGATGGCATGATCCTATACATTGAAAAAAAACCCCAAAGAATTGGCAAGAGAACTAATGGAAAGATTCAGCAAAGTGGCAGGATACAAAATCAGTTAGCTCCTTGTCTACTACCAAGAAAACCAGAAACATAATACCACTTAGAATAGCCCCCCTAAAGGTGAAATACTTAGTACAGAGGAAACTCAAAATGATACTCTGCAGTGGGCAAATCTGCTACAAAAGACTCCTTTAAAATGTAAAAGAGCAAATATGTCATTTTGAGCACTAAGGTGTGCCTGACCTAAGCCATGGTTTTGCCAATCGCCTCATATGAAAACAAGAGCTGGAAATAAATAAGGAAGACCAGAGAAGAACTGACTGTTTAAATCAGGGTGTGGTCGTAGAAGATGAGAATCCCACCGGCGGCCAGGAAAACAAACAAATCTCTCCTGAAAGAAGTACAGCCAGAACGAATGCTCCTGAGAGTGACGATGGTGACAGTGTGTCTCACATACTTAGGCATGTCACCAGGAGGTTACCAGTCCCTAGGACAGCGGTTCTCAACCTGTGGGTCACGACCCCTTTGGGGGTTGAACGACCCTTTCACAGGAGTTGCCTGATTCACAACAGTAGCAAAATGACAGTGGTGAAGTAGCAACGACAACAATGTTACGGTTGGGGGTCACCACCACATGAGGAGCTGTATGATAGGGTCGCGGCATGAGGAAGGTTGCGAACCACTGCACTAGGAGGACATCATGCTGGGCACCGTAGAGGATCAGAGACACACAAAGGAGGAAGTTCTTCAAGGCTATAGATTGACAGCCACTGGCTATACCAAGGAGCTCAAACATGGCAACCGATGAGAAGCCGGGGTAAGGCTGACAGTGTGTCGTGCTGCTGTACCAAGGGTCACTGTGAGTCTGAACTGACCTGAGGGCACCGAGCGGCAGCCAGCACACACACGTTCCCCGTGTTGGGAGTCTCCTGGCTGAGGCCCAACACTCAGGGACCAGAGAGGGCGGCACCTCTGCCCTTCCTTCAGAGCACTCCGGTGTTCACTGCAGGTTTAAGACGTTTGCTCGCAAATGCTCTTTCAAAGTTCTTGTTTTGTTTTTAGAACACTTCGGATCCAACATTTTTTTCCCTATTGTACAGACAGTGTTTCATGTGTCTTGTAAAAAACCCCAGCACTACAAAAGTCCGTGAAAGCCGCACTAAGGTGGTGTGGTAACACCTTCTTGGTCCAGGAGTCCGAATCGACTTAACGGCCACCAGCAGGTACGGAAGGGCTCTGGTTTCCTAGACTGACCTTAGGCTGTTCTTCTCAGGCTTGTGTTTGCAGCTGCTTCGGTCAAAGACCCTAAACAAGCATATCATCTCAAAATTAAAAACCGAAGAGAAAACCATCAGGAAGTTGCGATTTCTGGAGGCAAGTCAAAAGAAATAAGTTTTCACACTTGTGTAGAACTGGGTACTCCAGGAAATAGGGGGGGTTGGGCTTGGCAGGGAGAGGTGCCCCTGCTTTCCAAGCCAGCAGAAAGACCAGGCCCCCAGCTGGTGATCGCTCCCCTACGGAGGCTGACAGCGCAGCCCCCAGGCCTGAGTCACAAGGGCAGGAGGAGGGTTTGCATTTATCTCCCTAGTGCTCGCGCTGCTTCAAGCCCTTCGGAGCGTGGTGGCAGCTCAGGAAGCTGGCTCGGCGGAAGCCACGCCGGGCCCCTTTGTGGCCCCTTCACCCAGGGGTCTTTGCACAGCTGACCTCCAGAGCATGCCGTCTTCTCACTTTTGTGAACCGCTGGACAAACGCCACTAACAAAGCCCCTTGAAAGACTCGAGTCCCTTCCCATCGGCCTGAAAGGGGATTTCGGGGAAATGCCACAGCCTGGTTTGCAGGTTGGCTCTGGTTGCCTTTGGTGCTTTTTTATTTAGGGTGTGTGGGCCCCTCTCTATTTCAAACTGGAAAACCAAATGAACTGCAAAGTGGAGCACAGAATTTTATCAGCTACATCAGCAGTCCATTTCCTTCAAGTGTTTTGAAACAGAGAGGTGATAAATGATAAAATCCCGGGGCAGTGGGGGGCAGGGGATGGGTCAAAGTGAAATGAAAACTTCTTTTGAACAAACATGTTCGGTTTTAAAATCCAAGAAGGTGCATTGTCCTCATCATGCAGTTTTGGGGGGAAAAGAGCACCCTTTTCATTCTGAACTCTGAACTAAAGCCAAACTTTAAAACCACTTTTTAAAGAGGGATTTAGAGAAAGTTAAAAAGACACCACCACTTCGAGCACCACCCCCCCTCCAGCAATAACCCCTTGAATCTATATTGCAAGCTCTTGAAATTTAACCCTTCCCGTAACCATTTGGGCATCTCCTGTCGATAATTCCCCAACCCTATTAAAAGGAAATAAATTGAGTGCTAATTTAAGAGCTAAAGATATGTCATTTTAAAAAGCCACGTGTTTGGTTTTGGGTTTTTTGACGACCGACATTCATAAATTACGAAGCATTTTTCTCACGTTGCTAGACCCCATGATTTCTAAAAACCAGAAGAGAAAAGAAAAAAATTATGTTGAAAACAGACTAAAATAAGGACTTGGAATGAAGATGGCCTAAAAGGAGCGTGGACAGTGAGCAGGCCAGCAGCGAGTAGTACCTTACTATCCAGCTTTTTCATCGTGACCAGGTCCAGAGACTTGAGAGAATGGCCAGTGGGAGCGATGAAGTAGAGGCACGCGTGGACCCTTGTGTCATGGTAATTGAAGAGAGAACGCTTGATCTTCAACTCCTCTTGCAGATAGGCCTCAAATTGGGCGTCAATGTATTCCACTATTGGCTTATAGCTAGAATACAGAAGAATATTTTTTAAGATACATTTTCAAATCAGCATGTGTCTAGTCTCCAACCTCTCTGGCTTTTCACAATGGGTCTCTTCATCCTAAGTGATAAAGCCCCAAGCTCTTTACTTTGACATCCAAGGCCTTCCGCATCTGGCCCGGGCACATCGCTGCAGCATCCTCCCACACTGGCTAGGCTCACCTGTTCTGTCTCAAGAAGACACACCGCTAGAGTCGCCCCCACTTGCTTGTGCACCTTTGCCTCTCTACTGTACCTGGACTAGCATCCCTCTTCCTCTTCACCGCCTGGCTAGCATTAGCTCTTTCAAATAAAAATGATAAATATTACACGCTGGAATTCCCCTATGCACATCCAATCACATCATCCTTTCCTGCTGGGTAAAAATGAGCCTCAAAGTCCTTCTCAGGAAAGTGATTTTGATAGCCCCTATCGACCGACGGACTGACATTGGTGCACGAAGCCTGTCTCCACAGTTCCTTGCTCCATCCTCCATTAGAGAGAGGTGGGTTCTGGGCTCCCATGAAGCTCTGGGGCACACATTCCATCACTCTATAAAATGAGATGCCTGGATTGTTGTGACCTTTTGCAGTCACAACCCACTTCAGCTCCACAGGTGTGTGATTTAAAGGGAAATGTTACAATCTCCCCTTCTTCCCAAGTCCTAATTCAAATCTGTTTTGGATCATCCTGGTTGATTCTATCAACTGACCATCAACACAGTCTGAATAGGATATTGGAGTCATGTACACAGGAAGTTCTCTGGGGAATAAACAGTGCATTAGAGGTCACGGTCAAGAGCCCAAGCACTTTTTCAAGCCGGCAAGGGGATGCTCAGGCGACCTCGGTTTCAGCAGCAATGAGCTCGGTCTACTAGGAATCCAGAGGGCTTCTTCTCCCCCAATTCACTGCCTTGTTGGGGAATGATTAACGCTTTAAGAAAAGTAAAAACGATTTCTCATCCAAACCCAAGAATCGTAAATTAAACCAAAATCCTGGAAAGAGAGTTACAAATCTTTTACAACAGCAGCGATCTAAGAGAGAGAAGAAGAAAAATTATGACCAGAACTAAAAGGAGTCAGAGAAAGAAAGGAAGAGCTTTTTGACTGATTATTTTTCTTTGGTTCTTTATCACAACACATTGGCTCAATGTCTGGATGTGCAAAAGAAAATTCCTCTGTAATAAAAGTTCTATATCATAGCAAGCAAAAAAGAACAAACGAGAAGACTGAGTGGTAAGATTTCAAATTTTGCTGCGTGAAAATATAAGTAAGTAGCAAATAATAATAATACTGATAATGGTTCCATGGGATGATGGCTAGAAGGGTAAATTCAAAACAGGCTTCCTAAATCCAAAATCCAGCTCCACAACTTACCTGGCTGAATGACCTTTGGACAAGTTACTAAACTTCTCTGTGTCTCAATTTCCTTAAAGGTCAAATAGGAACAAAAACGTAGTATGTGTAACCAAGTAACTACTGGCCCAAGCAAATAAACTAATAAACAGCAAGGATTGGCCCATCACCATGGAACAAATAGTATAAACAAAAGAATATTAAGGCTGGCTTTTTTAAAAGGCTGGAAAAAAAGGAACATGACGCCCACCCGTTCTGTGGTAACTGCTCTGCCTCTGAGCTGTGCCCTCTAGGGCGGTGACCAGGCCACTCCCGTAAGATCCTCCCAGCCCTACAGTCAGTCCCCGGGTATTGTGGCAGATGTTTGGTGCATGTGTCTTTGTAGGACAAGGAGCTCCAAACGCCTACTTTGACCTAACGGGGATGTGCAAGGGCTGGGGAGAGGGTGGGGGGAGGGAATAGTTCATAGGCAATAGCTCCTTCCTGCTTCCCAAAGTTCTGTCAGCTCCCCAACAGTTCCTTAGCACGGACCCAGGTCTGTTTCTTGGACCATTTACATCTAGTCTTAGAGAACAAATTTTTTTTAAGTCACTATGCTCTATAGGAAAGATTTAATTCTGTTGATGAAATTGTTTCTTTTTAAAAAAATTCTTTTCCATTCATGCTTCCTCCTTGTCTCTGGTTTTGACTGTTCCTCTTCAAATGGTGGGAGATATAACTTAACCTTTTCCCTGAATTCACTACAGCCAAGGAAACCCTCTTATATGAATGGAGGGGAATTGAAAGATGAGGCCATTCTCCTAGGAACTTGAAGTCTTCTTGTATCTCGGGCCTCCTTCTGCTTGTTCCTCTTAAGTAGGGACCCCTGGCCAAATGTTCAGTCTCTCTTCATTGGACTCGATGTTGTCTCCTACAAAAGCATACTTATTCCCACCTCCCAATTGCTATCCATCTGGTGACTCTTCACACATATTGACCTCTATCCAGATCTTTCAACTAAGCATCAGATCCATCACCCAATTGCTTACTAGCTAGTTCTACTTGCTTCTGTAACTAAAGTTAGAGTCTAAAATTGAGCTCCTCGTGGCCCCAGACCCATAATCCCCTGTAGTTTTAGTATGATGTATGGTAGCTCCACCCACCCCAGTGGTCCATAATGGTGACCCAAGTCAGAAACCTGGGGTTTGTTCCAGAGACCTCTTTCGCTCTTACTGCCCACACCCAGCCAAGCACAAAATCCCAACCACTTTATCTCCCAAACATTATACCCACATGCCCACATACCCATTCCTGGAGAACCACTCATAAAACCCACTATTCCCTCTCTCAAAGATTTAATGATACTGACGAATACAAGCCAGCCAGCTGGTTTAGAATTCCTCTGCACAGTTCTCAAAACCAATTCTCTCCCCCTTGCTCTAAGTCAGCGGTTCTCAACCTTTGGGTTGCAACCCCTTTGGGGGTCGAACGACCCTTTTCACAGGGGTCTCCTGATTCACAACAGTAGCAAAATGCCAGTTATGAAGTGGCAACAAAAATCATTTTATGGGTGGGGGGTCACCACAACCTGAGGAACTGAATGACAGGGTTGCAACATTAGGAAGGCTGAGAACCACTGGTCTACCTCCTTTCCACTTCTGTAGATGGATGTTCACAGTCATAAAGAAGAAGAAAGCTTAATCCTGAAGTTGGTATTTGCTAGTTTCTATGCCTAAAGGAAAAACATGGGTTTATATTCCATTTGGCCGATTCAAACTTCCCTGGACTGTCGAGCTTTTACTCAGGGGAAGAGGAGCAAATAAACCTGACTCTTAAACGTTTCCGTTTCCTTTTAAGGCATGAGGCTGTACATCCCTTTGTGTTCCATTCATTGTTTTCCATATGAGTGAGGGGCGGGGAGAGAAAAGAAAGAAAATAGCAGTAAAATGACAGTTAACCCTGTATCTGATGGAAAATGCACCAGGGAAAGTTAAAATTAAGGCGGAAAATATGTTATACAATGTTGTCTATACAATGTATTTAAGCAAAAGAAATTAAATTCACTGCCATCGAGTTGAGGCCAACTCATAGCGATCCTACAGGATGGAGTAGAACCGCCCAAGTGGGTTTGGGAGACTCTAGCTGTTTACAGGAATAGAAAAGCTCATCTTTCTTGCAGGTCACAGCTGGTGATTTTGAACTGCTGACCTTGTAGTTAGCAGACCAAGGCATATTCGCTCCACTGCCAGGGCTCCTTTTGTATTCACTAGTCATTTTTTATATAATGTCATTCTTTAGGGACTGACTCTCCATGATGACCAGTTAACTAGATTTTCAATTAGCCATTAACCAAAAGATTGGTGGTTCAACTCCACTCAGTAGTACTGCGGAAGAAAAGGCCTGGTGATCCATTTCCATAAAGATTACACCATGAAACCCCCCTGGAGCAGTCCCACTCTCTAACACCCACACGTCGTGGTGACTGTGGACCGCCTTCAAGGCAGCTAACAGCATCCACAGCGTGGTGTGCTCTGGCTGTTAACCAAAGCCAGTTTTCTTACACTGTGGCCATCTCCAGCAGACAGTGTGATTAAAAAAAAGAGAAGACATTTAGAATAGAAAAGTCAAGCCGTCCACAACTATTTTATAACGCTGATCAACATTTGGAGCGTGTGCGTATTCTTGCTCTGCGGGCTGCAGTCACCCAGGCTTTTCTGAGCTGGTGACCACAATGGTCCATGATATGCCTCTGAGAGCCCGGCGCTCGACTGGAGGCAAACTACAGTTGGTGCTCTTTCCTGCTGGACAGCAAAACTCACCTGCCTGCTTTCCTTAGATCCCTTTCCTTCTTCACTGGCCAAACCAGGAAGCCCTTAACCAACAACGAGTTAAATGTGCTATGAAACATAAGAGGAACCCGGCCCAGATTTCTCATCCTGCCTCCTTCTAGCTAGCCTGGTCAGAAGCAGATAAGGAGGCAGGAATGCTGACGTGTCCAAAGCTACATAAACACACTGGGACATTCTTGAAGTCGTCCATCCATGGCCGAGAAGCCGGCCTACTCCTCAAAGTGTTTAAAAATAGTCCTGGGCGGAGGGAAACACCAGCAAGGCCTTTCCCATCCAGTGCAGGGCAGACGCAGGCACGCAGACCCCACTCCCCGTTGTTTTACGTCGTCGAGATGTCCGGGCTGACAGTCATGTGGGCTTCAAGGCAACCTTGTCGACAATGCCTTCTGAGGGACAAGGTAAAACATTCCAAAATGCCATTTGAAACGGTTATGCAACAGCTGTCAAGACATTTCAGAGCAAAAAAAGTGGTATCTAGGTTAGGTTAATATTACACTTCCTCTCTTCTAAGTCTCCTTGGAAACTATTATTTGACCCAAATGAGTCAGATCACTTCTTAAAGAGCCCGACCAGCTGCAAATTGGAGGCTCTACTGGGTAAGAGCCAAGTGCTGCTGGCTCGGTGCTAGAGGGTGAGAGCCCCAGTCTAGGGGGAGGGCAGAATCGCATCTCAGCCCAGAGGTGACTACTTTGAGCTAGCACAACACAAGATACTGGCACTAACAGGAAGATGCTAGAGGGTACTTCTCATGCCTGCAGGCAGGGACCACCAGGAATGATCCCTTGCGGTCAGAGAGGGCATAAACATGACATGATCTCTAACCCCAGCGAGCAATCTTTCAGGTCTGAGAGGCGAACGAAGCAGAGGGCTGGATGTGAGTGTAGTAAGTGACCGTGTAATCACCATGAATCTTTGCCTCTCTTCCTGGCTCCCACAATGCACCTGTCTTTTCTCCTGGGTTTCCTCTTCATTTATTTCACTTGACATTTCAAGCAGCCTTCCAGCAAGAACTGTCCCATGAATCCTTTGCATTGAGGTCCTAAATCGGTGGTTCTCAACCTTCCTAATGCCGCGACCCTTTCATGCAGTTCCTCATGTTGTGGGGACCTCCCAACCATAAAAGTGTTTCCGTTGCTTCTTAACTGTAATTTTGCTACAGTTATGAATTGGGAGACCCCTGTGAAAGGGTCATTCAACCCCAAACGGGTCGCAACCCACAGGTTGAGAACCGCTGTCCTAAATGACCAACTGCTCAGAAGCAGCAGCAGAGCTCAGATGCAGAAGAAATCTTTCTCGGGGCTCTAACAATCGCTCCCGTTACATCACAGGGCGATGTGCACTGAAGGGCCTGCAAAGAACTCTGTGGACAGAATATGGAGGCGGAGGCTAGCAAGTAGGTAAGTGCTTCGCTACGACGCCCACGAGGTTCAAGTATCAGGGATGTTAGCCGTAGTGATGGAATGCCCAGCTAGGCAGTACACATTGCCAGACAGAGCTAGTCCAGGTTCCTCTGCATAGAACACACGCATGACAACACACTGCCATGGAGGCAATCCCGACTACAGGACAGAGTAGAACTGCCTCTCAGGGTTCCTGTGACTCTAAATCTTTATGGGAGTAGAAAGCTCCTCTCACAGATGAGTGGTTAGTGGTTTTGAACTGCTGACCTTGCAGATAGTAGTCCAATGTATAGCCTACTGGGCCACCAAGGCTTCCTACACACATATGAGGAGGCTTCAAACGTTTATGGGAAAAGTTGATTATCTCTTCATTGCATTGTTCCGGGAACTTTTTGAAGCCCCCCCATATAAACCATTTTGAGGGAAAACACACAAATTAGCAAACACATCAGGAGTTGGAGGGAGAGGGAGAGTCAGGACTCAGTGGGCGCAGTGTAGGTTAACGGTGGTGGAGTAACCCGGAAAGACATAGTGATGAGGACCACTCAACATGACGAATGACATTGGTGTCACTGAATGGGCAACTGTTTGATATCTTTGACCACAGTTAAAGATCATAATTACCCCAGGTATACGAATGAAAATGCTGAACCTTAGCAAACTTGCCATAACTTACTGGTTTGGTGTTTACTGCTACAAATTGCTTACTCTGAGGAGCAAGGCCCTCATTCCTAAGGTGATGTCATCGCTCGAACATGTCGCTGGTTGTCCCTTCTGGATATATCTCTGGACCTGGGACAGTGTTACTTTCACTTTCTCACGCTGCTTTTAAGGATGAGCCACAAGGCATGCGATATTGAGATCGACAAACTGGACGGGAATCTTGGGATTGAGATTAATTAACATGCGGGGTGTAAACCAGCAAGTTGTAAAGAACAGCCACTTTCCTCAAATAAGAGCAAAGAGTATCTCACAGTGGAGAAATATAGTTAGTTGGCTTCATAAATGGGTGCATATGTATTGTGTGAAAATAACCCCCCACTGTATTATGTTTGGAGCCTTGATGGTATAGTGAGGAGTCCTGGTGGCACGATGGTTACAAGTTGGGCTGCTCACCACTAGGTCAGCAATTCAAACTCACCAGCTGCTCCGTGGGAGAAAGATTTGACTTTCTACTCCTGTAAAGGGTTACAGTCTTGGAAGCTCACATCTGCGGTTCTACTACTCTGTCCTTCGGGACACTATGTGTCAGCACTGACTGGGTGGCAGGGCGCTGGAGCTTCTGGAGGGAGTCCACTGGGTTGGGAGCCTTGGTGGCATTGGGCTGCTACCCAAGGACAGTTGTTGGCCCCACCCCCACCTCCAAACACACACCCAGCTGCTCTTCTGGGGAAAGAGGAGGCTTCCTGCTCCCATAAAGGTTTATTTAGAAATCCCAAAGAAGCAATTCCCCTGCGTCCTACAGATCGCTGTAAGTCAACATCAACTCAATGGCCATGGGTTTGGTTTTTCTATCATGTTTTTTATTTTAACGAATGGATCTATCAGATTAATTTGCCCTATACACAAACTATAGGGCAAAAGTTCAGGGAAAATATATTGTATTTTTTTAAGTAGGCCAAATGTGCCATGGCTTTAACATATACAAAGAATTTTATTGTCTATTTTACCTAATTATCCTATCAAACTCTGAACAGGGAAAACAAACAAACAAAACAAAACAACTTTACTCTAGATCAGGGAAGGGGAATGTCGGGGCCTCAAGAAGAAATCTTCGGGAGCAGCCAACATCCTACACCTCACCGTGGAGAAGCCGTTCCGCCCACCACACTCTCACTCACTGCCGTGGAGCCGATGCTGCCTCGTTGTGACCCTATCCGACCGGGGAGAACTACCCCTGTGGGTTTCCGAAACTGTAACTCTTTTCAGAAATAGAAAGCCCAGTCTTTTTGCCATAGAGCGGCTGCTGGCTTCAAACTGCTGACCTTGCTGATCAGAGCCCCACGAGTAACCACTACACCACAAGGGCTCCTAAAGCCATCACCTTGGGGGTGAGCTAATTAAATGTTTGACCAAATACAGCAAGTTCATTTTTAAGTTGATAATTTTAGATGCCCCCCGAATGAGGTTATCAATACCCAAATGGCCCTTGGCAGAAAAAAGGCTTCCCACCCCGGCTCTGAATCAACCTGAGTACGGGTGACGGAAGTCACACTCATTTAGACCGAAGGTGGTGATTCTACCCTGGCGTGCAGCCTAGCTCTGGGTCACCTTCGGGGTGACCCCAGAAACTTCACAATCGACTCCCAGTGCCTCACATTGCAGCACGAACATCAATATGTAGATCTGGGGCCACCTAGCGAGTAACTAAGATTCACCCAATAAATCTTCCATAAAAATGCTTGCCTCGCTGCAGGATTTCAGGAGCTAAGCTTCTTTCCTTCCCTCGGTCTCCTCGGATGAATAAGATGGTTCTAAGTATCACAGCAAGTTCCAGAAAGGGCCGTGGCCCCACAGCGTGCAGAGAATACCCAGACCATACACGGAGTCTTCTCGTTCCCAGACAACATTGGGCTTTTTGTACAAAACCATCCATTCAGTTTTCACCGGGCTCTGTAAGCATTGAGTCAAATATCCCAATCTGCTACACAGACGGAGTAGGGCTTATTCTCATTTCAAACTCCTTTTTCCTGTGATGCCTCTTAGGTTGTCAAGTGAGAACTCGGGAAACCACATCGCCCCGCCTCTTCTTGCAGCTGGTCCTCTAGATGTGACCTAGCTTCCATCTACCAGCGAGCAGCCACAAACCACCTGGCAGCAAGGAGTGAGCAACACAAGGCAGAGGCCACCCACAGGGGCGGGGAAGGTAAAAGCATCTGGTTCTCTAGAACAGATGTGGTGGCAGTTCTAGAGACTTCTCCAGAATGTCACCATATGATACTTCTCCAGAATGTCACCTAATGAGGCGACTGCTAGGGGCGATGAGGTGGGATGGTATGTCTCTGGAATGTTAGGGAGAGCCCTCAAACCTGGCACCATGACCCTCTTAAAGGAATATCATGAGCTAACCCTACTTCTAACAATCCCTTTTCTACTGAAACGAGCGGAAATAGATTGTGCTGTCTGATTCCGATACAAGTCCCATAACCACTGACCACACAAACAGCCTTTGGATTAACCCAGGATGAATTCTGTTACTTCCTCACCATTTATAGCCCATAACCCCCAAGATGCACCTGTCATCTTTGTTTATCTGGTCTCCAAAGCCCACGGTGTCCACGATGGTTAACTTCAGCCGGACGTTGCTCTCCTGAAGCTCGTAGCTCCGGGCTTTTAACCGCACACCCGGTTCATTGTGCGTGGCTGGGTCACTTTCAAATTTGGTGTTGAATAAAGTGTCCATTAACGTAGATTTGCCAATGCCTGTTTCGCCTAGATGAACAAGGAGGGAAATAAAAGAATGAGAGACGGGGTTATTGCCTCTTGGACATCACTTCAGCATTTTTCCCAATCACAGCTGCAACATTAAAAATATATGTATCACCAGAAACCCTACCAGCAAGTGATAATTAGTTCCTCATTTCAGCATCGCCCAAGGAATAAAGACCTCCCTGGGAATGC